CTAGCTCTAGTACTATAGCCCGCGTACAGTTGCCGCTGCGGCTATAGTACTAGAGCTAGTCTTACCGAAGCAAGGACTCCACCAGCTCCTCCATCTCTGCTTCTGTTTCGTGCCACATGGTGGCGCATATGTAGATTTTCGCATCACATCGCTGGTGAGGCTCGTATCCGCTTCCGGCATCGCTTACGGAAAGCACTTCCCCCGGAATGAGCGATGCATCAGAATTCTGAAGGTTTACTTCCTCGAACGTCATCTCTGCACGGAAAAGCATATATGTGTGTTATGTTCGGTACGAAGCTACACTGCTCGAGCAGTATGCACACACGCACACGCACACACGCGCGCGCGCTCGAGCACCCGCACGCACACGAAGACGCGCACACACACAAAGACGCGCACACACGCGAAGACGCGCACGCACGCACACACGCACGCACGCACGCACGCACGCACGCACGCACGCACGTAAGCACACACACACACACACACACACACACACACACCACACGGACAGACTAATAGATATACAAGAACGCACACCTATAGTACTCACCTGCTCTCGGTCCTGCTCTCTACTGCTCACGTAGAGACGGCAGCGTCGCAATAAATACCGAGGGTGGCCGAGCGGCGGGGTCCTTAGAACAAGATAAGCTGTGACGTCACAGTCGACGTCACAGTCGTACCGAGCGCAGAAGATGGCGTGGGCGAATAGAACGCGAGCCGCGTGCAATCCTAGGATAAAATGCATATTCATCACAAAATATAACTCCTCTGGCGAGATATTGTGCATGCATGCGCTAACACACTAACGTAGCCAGATTGTGTACTGGCTGGTATAGGCAGCCGGGACCTTACATGCAAGGTCTTCCTCCTATTTTTTTAAATAATGTCTATTGATGGAATGTTATCATATAAATCTATGCTAGGCTAACTCCTCTTTATTTTAAATGCATCTTTGCAAAATACGATTTCTCTCGGGAGATATTGCACATGCGCGCGCACCGTGTTAGGCGTGTAGTGCCGTCTGAGGCAAACTTTATAATATAGCTTGCTAACGGGGAGAGGGGATGGGATACTTAGGAAATGCGGCAGGGAAGATAGCTGGGGGCGGTAGAAGAAGAAGGAAGCTGAGTGAGGGACAGGGGAGGCAAGGGGAATGAACGCGAGGGCATAAAGTAGGTGTTTTGTACCCTACATGCTAGGGCGCTCTCCTAATTATAAACACAGGTCTACTGATAAAAGTTTATTAGAGAAATCTATGCTGAGATACCCCCTAACCATTTTAAATGCATATTCATCACAAAATATAACTCCTCTGGCGAGATATTGCGCATGCGCTAACACACTAACGTAGCCAGATTGTGTACTGGCTGGTATAGGCAGCCGGGACATTACATGCAAGGTCTTCCTTCTATTTCTTTATTGATGTCTATTGTTGGAATGTTATCATATAAATCTATGCTAGGATAACTCCTCTTCATTTTAAATGCATAATCTTTGCAAAATATGATTTCTCTCGGGAGATATTGCACATGCGCGCGCACCGTTTTAGGCGTGCAGTGCCGTCTGAGGCAAACTTTATTATATAGCTTGTTGGGGGGAGAAGGAATGGGAGACTAAGGAAATGCGGCAGGAAAGATAGCTGGGGCGATAGAAGAAGAAAGAGGCTGAGCGAGGGACAGGGGAGGCAAGGAGAAGGACTCGAGGTCATAAAGTTGGTGTTTTGTACCCTACATGCTAGGGCGCTCTTTGAATTATAAACACACGCCTACTGATAAAAGTTTATTAGGTAAATCTATGCTGAGATACCCCCTAACCATTTTAAATGCATATTCATCGCAAAATATTACTCCTCTGGTGAGATATTGCGCATGCGCTAACACACTAACGTTGCCAGATTGTGTACTGGTATAGTCAGCCGGGACTTTACATGCAAGGTCTTCCTCCTATTTCTTAAATGATGTCTATTGATGGAATGTTATCATATAAATCTATGCTAGGATAACTCCTCTTCATTTTAAATGCATAATCTTTGCAAACATGCGCAGGAGATTGTTGGCATATTCACCAACACTGCACCTCTTTGCATTGAGCATTTTCTTTTGGGACTCTGAAATCTCTGTCCCAGACCACAGAGTCACCTTTAAGACAAAGTACACTTGGAATTAATTTAATATATATAATGCAGGCCCGGTATGCATGTACGTCTATATATATATATATTTATTAGCTTGTCAACCCAGCCACAGCCATGAGTCACACGCGCACTCACACCCGCAGACAGCGACATGCATGCAACGCACACTACACGCACCGCGGCGCAACCACAACACCACACCCACACCACACACACAATGCACAGAACACACACACACACACAAAACACCCACACACACACACATCACCACATGCTCCACACGAACACACCCACACAACACCACCACAACACAACACCACCCACAACAGCCAACACACACAGACCACACCCACAACACACACCACCCTGCAAATATGCATTGCCATATATTGATAATGCCCAAATTGCGCAGTGTACTATATATTATATTTCTATTAGTACTAATTTATTATATCAATACAAGGTAAAATAGATATAAATGTCTGCTTATAAAACAAATTTACGATATCATATTTATAATATTTCACATTATTTATTTATGCGTTATATATTTATTATTGAGTTTAAACCAAAGTAAACATTATATATATATATATATATTAGTCTAGCTATATATATATTGGAAAAATATATATAGGGCCTACCATGTTAATCAATGGTTTGTCGTCGTCATCTCGCACATCATCTGATTCGACTGGACTTGCACAAGGGGAGTCCCTTGAAGCTTGACAGCGGATAGATGTAGCGGCCGGTGTGTCTGTTGATCGCATGGAAGAATTAAGTTCTGTCGCTCGGTTGCCTTGCGATTTCAGTTCCTTGACGATTTTTAGCAAATCTGGTATGTCTGAATTGTGAAAAAATTATATTTCTTTATGGGATATATAATATAATTGCCTATATAATTAGTGTGTGTTTTGCGCGCGCTTTACAACAATCATAATTATCATGCAACGTAGGTACGTTATGATATATATATATATATATATATATGGCTATAAACTCGCGTTTTTGATTCGCTAAGATCCTGTGTAAGTTTTTATTTTTGCGTTTTAATGTGCCATTTTCTTCTTCCAGTTCCATAATTTTTTCCCGGATTTCCCTGCTTTCCTATCAATTAATGTGCATGCATGCAATTATATATATATACAGTGTATATAAATACATAATTATTCATTGTGGCATTTCGGCTTGCATGCATGCATGCATGGGGCTGGAAATCTGTCTCAATGTTTAATTAAGGGCCACAGGCACTATTAAATTGGTGTATAGTTATAATTTTGGATCTTGCAACATGTGACTTGTGGCATTAACTCTGTCAAGAATGTCACACCAAAAAACCGCATAGATGCATGCCAGTCTCCAGTTTGCTTGGAGACCATTTACCTCAGAACGTGCTTTGATCATCTCATATTCATTGCTTGCTATTACTGCATATGATCGACATGACCATCGTGCTGTAGAAACCCTCTTTGGCACAGATACAGGACCAGATTTCACAGTCTTTAGTAAGTCTGTAAGAATTTCATAACGATCGATGTGTCGAAAATGTGAAGAACACATAAATTGCCTCGAGGAAGTGAAAATATGGCACTGCTGCTTGTCCAACTAGGTAAATACAATGGTGGTCTTATATTAGTGGTCAATACCAACTTGGTCCAAAAACCAAATCTATATCCACGAGCTGACTCGTGGATCTGCGGGGATGCGTTAATTTTGATTGTTCCCACGAGCTGACTCGATCGTGGATCCGCGGGGAACGTGTTAACAATTTTTTTTTAAACCAAATATGTGGAAGCCCCTGGTTTGTGGAGGCCCATGGGCAGCTGCCCACTCTGCCCACTCCTAAATTGGGGGCTGCTCCTGATATTATTTCTTTGGGGTGGCAGGGGCGTGTACAGGATTTGTACCAGGGGGGGGGGGGGAGGTCGATACGTACCAACTTGCGAGCACGCGAAGGGGGTCGTAAAGTTTAGTAAGTTAGACCCCGTTACGATGCGTTTACTGTCGCGAGCAGGT